ACGTTACGCTACGTGATTCGCTGAACAATGCCGCATGATGTAAAACATTGTTGTTGCCCAAACAACAATAATAACATCACTTAGCATCTGTGTGCCGAGTCGGTAGCATCTGTAGTGTTAGCGTGACAAAAGACTGATGAAGTTTTACCTGATTGATAAGAAAACTGAAAAATGATGTTTATGGTGAACAAACTAAATGCAAGACCAGGCCAGCTGGTCTATACAAAGATATATATCTTTGTATAGATATATATCTTTAAGATATATATCTTTGTATAGTAATTTCCTTCGAGGCTGGAATAGCCGCAAGGGCTGCTGGGTAGTGTCAAAATGGCGAAAACGACACCATTTTGTCCTGGTTTTGTGATTAAGAGGTTTCTTTACGTCGATGTTCTGTTCACACTGGGTTATAATTGTGTTCTGGAGGTTACAGTTGTGGTGCTTCATCTAGCACCATCGGAAAAATTTATTACCAGTTGTATATAAGGGAACAAGCATTCCCTGTTGTTTTGTAATGAATAAATAAAGTTTTGCATCTGGAAAGTGGTTTCTGTGTGAGTTACTTTACTGCTGACAAACACCCTCTATATATATATATGTATATATATACCGGTATATATATATATATATATTTTATATATATATATATATATATATATATATATATATATATATATATATATATATATATATATATATATAATATAATACAATATAATAAAGGCAGGCCCGTCCAGGAAACACAGCCAGGCAGACAAGCTCTGATCCAGCTCCCATGTCAGAGGATGAAGAGAACACATCCAGCCAGTTACAGTCAGAGAAACAGGACTACACTGAAAAACAGGCCGATCTCCAACAGGGTAAAAAAAACACAGGATATTAAATAGTAATTCCACATTATAGAGAAAGACAGAAGTGGCCTTTCTCACCAGTTTGTTCAGTCTCTTTCTGTCCCGCTCTGCACTGCCAGGGGCCCCAGCAGACGACAGTGTAGAGGAGGACTGATGCCACCTCAGAGTCATAGAAGGTTTTGAGCAGGGGCCTGCTGACTCCAAAGGACCTCAGCCTCCTCAGGAGGTGGAGACAGCTCTGGCCCTTCTTATACAGGGCGTTGGTTTCATGAGTCCAGTCCAGTTGATTATCGACGTGAACATCCAGGTATTTGAAAAACTTTTATTTAAATAAATGCTTAATTGTAATGAAATGTGACACAAAAAACCCCAATATTAAAAGGGGGGTTCTAAGCAACTTATATGGTTTTTGGCTGTTCTCTGGTGGATCTTCCGCTTAATATCTCATCTGCTGCCAGCCCATCAACATCTGATATGGTATTAAAGGAAGGATGAAGGTCCTAATAAAGTTTTATCTCTCCATTTTTTCATATAAGCACTTGTTCTAGCTGTTATTCTTGCATTTGGTTTGCTGTAGAGATGATTTACTGAGCAAATTAACTGATGTCTTGTGTTAATCTGACAGTTGCTTCCAAGATTCAGTCGTTCGGTTGTGGTAAAATTATCTTTGTGTAAAAAGTTAGACAACAGCACCACGCTGTGGATAACTTTTGCAACTGCAAGGTTAAAAAAAGAAAGCGTGTCACAGAAATAGGATCAGCAAATTAGGCTATTCTTTTTTAAAAAAATGTTAAAACTCATTGTTCATCTAGATATGTACATTACTAAAACCACTAAAACCGCACACACACAAAAAAAAACATTTTATCACAGTATTTTATCTGTTTTAAAACTAGAGCGAACTCTACTTTTTTCAGGGGTTAAACGGAAATAAAACAACCTTTTTAGTCCATTTAGATACTTTATATGAACAACTTGGATGGAAGGGGGATTATGAAAAAAAAATCAATGTTATATCAGTGAAAAATATGACAAAGCTTTTCACTTTGTTGTCATTTTAACTTCCCTGCAAGCACTGATTTAAAAGGCTCTTCTTTTTTGAGCCATTGTGAACATAAATGTACTTCAAAAAGCTGCTGTAAGGAAAGGCTGCTTTATGATTCATTTTCTCATCAACCTTCTGTGTTTCATCCCTTTAAATGATAGCTTAGTGTGAAATGTAAGATTTTTTACAAAATGACCCAGCTTTGGTAACTTTTGTCTCCAAATATTTTCACCAGACTGCTTTTTACCAGCACGTTTAAAGCAGCAACATCGCCGACCATCAAATAACAGGAATGTCGTATTCTTTCATGTTTACAATTTTAAAATGACTATAAGAAATAAGGTAGCATCTTCCAGGATCTTAAGCATCAACAAGCTTCTGAGGCCTTGAGTCATAGTCAGTTTTAAATAAAGCTGCATCCTGGGTTTACGGCCACCTCTGGGATTATAAAGGGGGTTTCAACCAAAGAACTGGAATGACTCTGGATGTTGTATTGTTAAAAACAGGGACATAATTTTACACTGCCAGGTGTGCCATAAAACACAAAACCAGGAAAAGAAACCCATCCCACAGAAAGAAGACCAGGTGTTTAGACATTGATGGTGCTTCTTTCCAATAATGGCTTGTCTGAACCACTGCCGACCCCCAGCACTCACTTCCACAAGAGCCGATTCCTATGGAAGATTTGAAAAGCAGCCTCTGCGTGTCTCTGTCCACATTGATGTTAGCCAGGAAGACCTGAAGAACAAAACATATTGTTGATTTAACTCAGCTTTCTACACCATCATCTTCCAGCATCGGATCAGCAAGCCAGATTCTGTTAATACAATCTCTTTAGTTTAACTTCAGTTTTCTCACAGACAGGCCTCAGTTACTCAACAGCAACAACACTGCAAAAAATAATCAGAAATAAGTAAAAATGTCTTAAATTAAGTGTATTTACCTTTAATTAGAGTAGGTAAGTAAGATGATCTGGCAATGGAATGAGTATTTTTACGCTTAAAATAACATAATTAGATAATATGCACTTGAAACAAGACAATGCAATTGTTTTTTTTCTTATTTTAAATGTAAACTTTCTCGTTCCATTGGCAAAGCGGCTCAATTACCACCTCAATTCAAGACAAATTTATTTATTTTAGGAAAAAATGTATTTATTTAGATTTACATTTTTTGAAACACCTCCTCCATTGTCGCTGAGATCAGCTTTCAGTCATCTTCTCATCACACTGATGACTGTTGTGCAAAGTCCAGCACCAATCACAGCAGTGATACGTCTTATCCAGAACAGAGATGAGAGGGCAAATAACGAGGAGGTGAGATTTTCCGCAGGCTGGTGCTGATTGACTCCAGGAGAAATCCTCTTGTGCATCAATAGACGATGGCAGCGGGGTCCGAATAAAGAAAATCATCAACCAGTAAAGGTCCATAAAATGCAGGTGTTATTGCATCCATGTTATAAAGTGACTTTTAAATAAAAAATAGAAAGTTTTTCCATTTTTAAATCTAAAATGTTTTGGAAGTAGAGAACAACAATAGTTCAGTTTGGTATATAGACAATTTCCTGATTCACTTTTTTTCATAAAACACCTGAACTGACCGTTTGTTATATTTTCTTTCTTTTTTCTGTCTTAATGAGAGCAGTGGGCTTTATGCTGCCCTGCAAGGCTTTAACCCTGGGTTTGAATGGAGACAAAGCCATTCTGATTTTAAGTTCTCTCTGACACCATCCAGGAAGGAAATATCTGCTGCAAGCAACACCTTCAAATAGAGATGATAGAGTTGGCCCTTTTTTTCAGTGCATACTCCTGTTTCTCTCCACTATAGCTATGGGCTCAGTTTTTACTGTGATTAGCTGTAGGTGCTATCTTTCATCCTTTGACATGAAAACAGGCTCATAGCTTGGCTGCTTAACTGTTTCTTTCCTAGATAGAGCAACCTGTGGAGGTAGTTTACTATTACTTTTCCTAGCTTAGAATGTATTTATAGATCAATACTTTGTTTTGTTTGTCTGCTTCTGTCTCCTTAAACCCCAGTCGGCCTCAGCAGATGGCCGCTCATACTGGGCCTTGTTCTGCTGCAGGTTTCTTCCTGTTAAAAGGGAGTTTTTCTTCTCCACTGTTGCTACAAGCATGCTTGGTGTGAGGAATTGTTGTTGAGTCAACAAGTCAATGCAATCAGCTGGTTTTCCTAAGATACAAAACCTTTAATCAATCTGACTGGTTGAATGATCTGGTTCAATTGTCTCTTTAAAGTGCCTTGAGATGACTTTGGATGTGGTTTGATGTGATTGAACCTAATTGTTAAACCTGTATGGATTGATTTTGTGTCTGAACAACATTCTGTTGTTTGAGAGGCTTTTAACATATTCTGTGCATTTTTGCACAAATGGAAATAGTTGAAAATGATCATACTTTAAACTCTTTAGTATTTCTGTGTTTGATTGATGCCAAATCCTACAAACTTAGTATAGAAACTGATTAATAAGCACAGGCCCAAATATTTGGTGCATATATTTTAATAATTTGGTAAGCAAATAAGGTTATGCATTTCAAGTAGGACAGTGCACTATTTAAGCCCCTTCATATGAGCAATGCTGTGCAGCAAGGAGAAATTATCTTTGCTTCTCTTTTTAATGTATATGGAACAACTGCCTCATGTTTGCTGATATATATATATATATATATATATATATATATATATATATATATATATATATATATATATATATATATATATATATATATATATATATATATATATATATATATATATATATATATATCTATCTATCTATCTATCTATCTATCTATCTATCTATCTATCTATCTATCTATCTATCTATCTATCTATCTATCTATCTATCTATCTATCTATCTATCTATCTATCTATCTATCTATCTATCTAGCACTGAATGATGAAATGTACTCAGCAATAAAGAAACAGCAATAATGACGTGTTAAAGAACAGCTCTGTGAAGTCTAATGGATAAGATCCATTTTGTACGATTTTACTTGAAAGCACCACGGATTTAAAGGGCGGCCGTAAAGCTCATAGTAGAAGCGCAGCTGGTGGGGAAACGCACCATGCAAGCGGAACCGGGGCTCCTGAGAACACCGGAACAGAGTCAGAACCGCAGTCTATCGGCTCCTGCCTTAATCAGGTCTATAGAACACACCTGCTGACATTTAGTCCCGCTGTTCTGATGTGTCCAGCAGATGAAATCCGACCCTGAGAGCATGAGGGTGGAAATAAATGAGTTTCCTGAGCCACGTATGGAGCGGCAGTTCCGCCCTCAGCTGGCGGCTGTCAGCCGGGGGCCCCTCTGACTGAGGCTCAGTCTGTGCTCCTGCAGGGAGATCTGCCTCTGAAACCACCGTAAGTACCGCTCATGTTTTCATATGAGGTTAATAATCTGCTGTAAGTCTGATATTTTAATGTTAAAGTGATATTTTCCTATGTTATAATACAAACCTAAACATTTGAGAGATCATTAAGAAACAAACAGACTCTGTTCCTTCGAAATAATCTTTTTTTTTTCTTTAAAGGCTTCATTTATACAGCCTGTTGCTTGATATGCGCTTATTTTCTCACTTTTATTTTAGAAGACATTAACTAAATAGGCCCATTAATGTATTTCCTGTTCATTCTAATGTTATAAATGTAGGATTATCTTTTATCTTTTACTGACCTTCAATTTTCACTAGCTTTATATAAACATAATCATTGCCTGTATATTCCTAATCCACATTTCATAATATAACCTTTAAAAAGAGAGTTAACTGCATTTGTACCGTGGTTTGAGCTGCAAAACACCCACCGTTCTTTAGTTTACAGGATCACACATACAGTCATACTGAGCCCACTGTCTGTGGCAGCAGTCAGTCAGAAGACTAAGCATGCAGCATCATAAGCCTGTTGATTTAAAGAATACGCCTGCTTCCTCTTGTGTGAGAAAGCATACCAAACAGGTTTCATTCTTACTTGAGGTCCAGAACTGAGATGTCGGACTTGAAACAATTAAGTGCAAATGTTCTTATTAAACGGTTTAAAGAGGAAGTTAAAGTACCTTTAAAAAACTGAGATTCCATGAATACCTTTAACCCCACAATCCCCACCAGGTGCCGAACAATGACAGCCTACTGCTCCCCAAGGGGAGGGGTTAAATGCAGAAGTACCCCTTGTACACCCTTTTTTTTTTTTTTTTTGAAACACCATTCATCTTAAATGATCATCAAATGTCAGCAATATATTTTCCAGCACTAACTGAATTAGGCACAGTTAACTTAGTGCCACAGGGCTGCGTATTCGGACCTCCAGCTTTTCTGGGAAATGTTGCTATGTAAAGAGATTTTCAGCCTAATTTATGAAAGAAATGTATTGTACTCACACTTTATATTATAGTCTTATGTAGTCACTTTTGTCACTTTGACCTATATGACTTTTCCAGGGATCCAGGGGCATCCCTGTCAGCAAATATAACACCATTGTCGGTGACAGTAAAGCTTTTTGCTAGCTTTTATCTTACTTCAGATCTCATTCTTGTACTCCGTGAATGAGACACCTGTCCATTAGAGTGGAATATCTAATGAATGCACACTCTTATTTTGTAGGGGGAAAGTCCATTAGACCAACTGAGGCCCCGTCCACACGAAGTCAAAACGAACACGAAACGTTGATATTTTCCAGAACGTTTGTCGTAAAGACGGAGACGTAAAATAAATGTGATCGTCCACACGAATGCATGAAAACGCTGCAAAATCTATGCCAGGCCTGTAAGTGGCGCTGTCGTGCCAAAGCAAAAATAGGCGACGAAATGTTGGGCATGCGCACTAATATTTATACATGGTTGCCCTGCGGGTCCATTTTCGTGGTTCAGTCAAATTCAGGTGCTGAACTATGTCGTCGATATTGCTCTGTTCTTCCTGGAGATATTCCAGAAGAAGAAGATTCTTTTGTAAGCCCAACAGCAGGGTGAGTAGCATGAGCAGCAACCATTCAACACAGTACGGCGCCATTGTTGTTGTGATACTGTGTCGCGCATGCGTGTTTAGAGGCGACGCTATGACGTATGCGTGTAAAAAAAAAAAATGCGGTTAGAGCTTAAAGATGGAAACGCGAAAACGGCGTTTCAAAATCTTCCCACTCTGAACGCTGAATAAAAAAAAGATCGTTTACAGACCCCCGAATCGCCGGCTTCGTATGGATGAGAGGCTGGTTTGGTGAAAAATGTGTGCGTTTAGGCCAGGGTTTGGCTTCGTGTGGACGGGGCCTGAATTATAGTTTAGGAGTACCCAGAGGTAACCAACGCATAAACAGTGTGACTTCAACCTTGGTCCTCAAGGCACGCCATTCTGCTTATTTTAAATGATTTAGCATTCATCCATCCATTTTCTTTACACTCTTTATCCCAAGTGGGGTCGTGAGGGGTGCTGGTGCCTATCTCTGTTGGGATCCAGATCTCATCAAGGTACAAACCAGAATCAAACCCCTGACAAGTCTTCACCGCTGCCTGGCTAACCAAACTATTAATCTCTGCAGATTACTCAGTGATTCCAGTCCCGGACCAGTACCAGAACCTGTTCTTTAATATTCTTGTGTGCTTCTCATAAATAACTGTTAAACTTTTACTCCGTTTCCTGTGGTGTTCTACTTGTGGGTTTAAACACAGAGACCCATCATGACAATCTCCAGCTGTGAATGGGCAAGAGGCAGGGTAGACCCTGGACAGGTCGCCAGTGGTATAGCATTGATGATTTAAAATTATTCCATGAATACCTTTAACCCCACAATGCTCCCCAGGTGCCGAACAATGGCAGCCCACTGTTCCCCAAGGGGAGGGGTTAAATACAGAGAGTGAATTTTGTTGCTCTGTACTTGTGACAGTGTAAGGAAAAAGAATCTGACAAGAAAATTAAATAGTGTGTTTTTTAAGCATACTCTAGATTTGTTAACGTGAGGGAGATTTTGGGGGCAGAAATTAGGTAACAGATGATGCTTTAAAGTCCTAAGGAAGTCATATTTAAATGTCAAATCATTCTGGCTTAAACATGTATATAAATTTACTCTTTATGAGACGATACTGTTCCAAAATATTAAAAATTTCTGTATAAAAAAAAAAACTTGTCTTAATATCTGCGTTTATTTTTCCGTTTTCTTATATAGACTAGTTAGTTATATGTCAGCTTGTACAACCTAAATTCGGCCAATCATATATCAACGGTCAATCAAGTTTTTTTCGGTCATAGCATCTTGATTCATATCTCGAATCTAATATATGCAACGGTTGAAATAAGAATCATTTACTTTAGCATTGAGTTCTGTCCCTGTGTTTACGGGGATGGACGCCTGTGTCTTCAGCAGGCGTAGAGTAGAGGCCTGCCTGCTCTGGCAGTGTTCAGTCCTGCTCCAGCAAAGAATCATGATTTTCAGTCCTTGTCCCGCTCCCACCCGCAATTCCCGCATGATTCCGATGTTCGCCTACTGCTCAAGGCAATTCGTGTCATTAGTTTGAGGAATTAAACACACTGTGCTTAGCTGAACACATTACGCTTACGTCTGAAGCATTATGTGTTGTTTCACTAGAGGAGCTCTGCTCTTCTGCCATGATCGGAGAGCAGAGCGGAAGAACCAGAACACGGAAGAGCAGAATGGAATAGAGGTAATTGAGATTACACATCCGCAAATGTATTCCAAAATGTTTTTATCAATAGATAGGCTAGGGCTGGGCGATATAGAAAAAAAGCTTATCGATTAAAAAAAATGCATATTGATCGATATCGATAATTATTGAAAAGATTTGAAACCATATTTTATGTGCAGCTCTGCCTGGACTTTTTATGATATTGCTAAATGATTTAATTTTAATAAAGAACACAAACACAGACTTCCAATTAAATATTTACTTAACCAACTTTTTTAACCATAACAGAATTGTTTTAAATCCGTTTTTAATGTTTTTAATCCAGAAAATCACATTGTCTGATTTTTAAAGAATTTATTTGCAAAATATGGTGGAAAATAAGTATTTGGTCAGTTACAAACAAGCAAGATTTCTGGCTCTCACAGACCTGTAACTTCTTCTGTAAGAGGCTCCTCTGTCCTCCACTCGTTACCTTCATTAATGGCACCTGTTTGAACCCGTTATCAGTATAAAAGACACCTGTCCACAACCTCAAACAGTCACACTCTAAACTCCACCATGGCCAAAACTAGAGAGCTGTCAAAGGACACCCGAAACAAAATTATAGACCTGCACCAGGCTGGGAAGTCTGAATCTGCAATAGGTAAACAGCTTGGTGTGAAGAAATCAACTATGGGATCAATTATTAGAAAATGGAAAACATACAAGACCACTGATAATCTTCCTCGATCTGGGGCTCCACGCAAGATCTCACCCCGTGGGGTAAAAATGATCACAAGAACGGTGAGTAAAAATCCCAGAACCACACGGGGGGACCTAGTGAATGACCTGCAGAGAGCTGGGACCAAAGTAACAAAGGCTACCATCAGTAACACACTACGCCGCCAGGGACTCAAATCCTGCAGTGCCAGACGTGTCCCCCTGCTTAAGCAAGTACATGTCAAGGCCCGTCCTATGTTTGCTAGAGAGCATTTGGATGATCCAGATGATGACCGGGAGAATATCATATGGTCAGATGAAACCAAAATAGAACTTTTTGGTAAAAACTCTAATCGTCGTGTTTGGAGGAGAGAGAATGCTGAGTTGCATCCAAAGAACACCATACCTACAGTGAAGCATGGGGGTGGAAACATCATGCTTTGGGGCTGTTTTTCTGCTAAGGGACCAGGACGACTGATCCGTGTGAAGGAAAGAATTAATGGGGTCATGTATCGTCAAATTTCGAGTGAAAACCTCCTTCCATCAGCAAGGGCATTGAAGATGAAACGTGGCTGGGTCTTTCAGCATGACAATGATCCCAAACACACCGCCCGGGTAACGAAGGAGTGGCTTCGTAAGAAGCATTTCAAGGTCCTGGAGTGGCCTAGCCTGTCTCCAGATCTCAACCCCATAGAAAATCTTTGGAGGGAGTTGAAAGTCCGTGTTGCCCAGCGATAGCCCCAGAACATCACTGCTCTAGAGGAGATCTGCATGGAGGAATGGGCCAAAATACCAGCAACAATGTGTGAAAACCTTGTGAAGACTTACAGAAAACGTTTGATCTCTGTCATTGCCAACAAAGGGTATATAACAAAGTATTGAGATGAACTTTTGTTATTGACCAAATACTTATTTTCCACCATATTTTGCAAATAAATTCTTTAAAAATCAATGTGATTTTCTTTTTTTTTCTTTTTCTCATTCTGTCTCTCATAGTTGAGGTATATCCATGATGAAAATTACCGGCCTCTCTCATCTTTTTAAGTGGGAGAACTTGCACTATTGGTGGCTGACTAAATACTTTTTTGCCACACTGTATATATATATATATATATATATATATATATATATATATATATATATATATATATATATATATATATATAAATTCCCGAAGATTCCTCGGAGGAGAGTCGCGGCGGGGCCTACACAGCTCGTACTCCTGCGGGTGTGAGCGGCTGAGATGATAAAAAAAAAAAAAAAAGTTGGTTGTGTTATCAGACTTCGTTTTCACTGGTTCCCGACACATTTTACAGATGACTGAGGTTTGTTTTTTGTTCGACTTGCCATGACCGAAATACTGCCAATCTGGCGAACTACAAAAACCCTTCTTTGGAACAATTTCCTCCGACTCTCCTGCTGCGACATCTTCATGTGCTCTGTGTTGTGGTTTGAGAGGGCGGCGCTTTGTGACGCCATGCCTGGGTCCGCGATTGTGATTGGTTGGGAGGAAGTAGTGACTAGCATAAACCTACATGCTAGGCTACAATGAGAAGGAAGGAAAACTACGTTTCTTTTTTATCGAACTTTTATCGACTCTCTTTTTTTCTATTGCGCCATACGTCTAAAGATCGATATATATCGTTATTGAATTATCGCCCAGCCCTAAGATAGGCTACCAAATACAATATCCAGCACATTTTGATGTGTATATATATGATAGACATAGACTAATAAGTTATGACTTTATTCTCTAGAATAAAGCTCTACGCACTCTACTCTCGTTAGCTCTATGTCTAGCGTAGAGCTAACAGAACTGGCAGCGTTGCGAGGCAAGGGCTCAAACATGTAGGGCTGTAAGCTTTCTACACCAAACCAAGCTTCTGCCGCCCTGGCGTCCTCTTCCACAACATCTTTGTCCTCTTCTAAATAAAAAATGTGTGACGGAGGAGACTCATCCATGACGTCCAACACAAAACTCTCCTCCTCTTGCATGTTTCCACTGTCCATAGCGTTCCTTGACAGTGTTGTTTCACCAATTTAGTGCTACTTGATCCCAATGGAATTTCCCATAGGGAGCCTACTAGCACTAAGTTGCTAACTGATTAGTAAGAGTCTTTGAAGAAACCGGTCACAATCAAACTTGCTTGCAAACCTTCCGCCACAACAATCTCGCCCTCTTGATAAACAACCAATCACTTTATTCACTCATGTAAAGTCGGGCACCACTTGGGAGAATTCGGAAATGCAACGGTTGACACAGCCATTTCCCTATGACTTTAAAAAGACTATGAAGAACCAAATACAGAGTCTTTTTCTAATTGTTTATTAGGAGAAATGGAGGGAGAAGAAATGCTGGAAGACTTCCTGGGAGTGATGACTATTCAACCAGTAAAAGTATGAACTTACGCCAACAGCTGGATCCTGGTTGAAGCGAAATTCTTCTGATTTGGATTCCAGTGATCATGATCATGAGGGTCTTCATGACCAAGCATGGACCTTGGTAAGAACTGATTACTCCCCAGGTCATTTTATAATGTCTTGATTTGGTGCAATAACTGTAATTTCTATTCTGGGTATTTGTGGTGGAATCTTAATATTTACCTTAGCATACAATCCATTAGCATTGTGTGTGTAACAGCTAGGTACATGAATATGTTCCTATTGATGGTAAATGATAAATGGCATGTACTTATGTAGTTCTTTATAAAGTCCAAGGACGCCAAAGCACTTTACACTACATTCAGTCATTCACCAATTTACACCCACATTCACACAGTTATGGCGACAAGATGGACTGTGGCCATAGTTGCCCAAGTGCTCAGACTGCAAAACATCGGCGGCTCCAGGTCCACTAACCACCAACAGCAGGCATGGTGGATAAAGTGTCTTGCCCAAGGACACAACGACAGAGATGGACAGAAGGAGGCTCGATCAACCACTACTTCCCAAACCACCTATGATAGGAAGGCATTCATTAGCCCTTTTTAGACTTACAACCTGCAGCAAGTCATTACTGGTAATCTACTTGGTCAGGGTTATGCGTATTAATTTTCGTGGACCACTGCAGTGTGAATAAGGCTCTTACATTACTGGGTGAGGTATGTATTTGCATGTTTACACAAAATCTTGATAGGAATCCTGTTGCCTGACAAGACGTCCGAGAACAACAGCATCACTGACAAATGGGGGAGCATTTTCTCAAGGAAGCAGGCAGGTTTTTAGTGATATGCGGAAACTGGTTGGTTCTGTCTGCTCAGACAGTGAAGTAGTGCACCAACTATGAGTAACTGTCTGGGACTTGCTTATATTTGGCAAAAGATAGCTGCTCTATAGGACAGCAGACTACAATGGACAAAAGTTAAAGTTTCGGGTTGAAGTGCCCTCTTCACAATTACCTGTCCTCTTCATATTTTGGTGACCAATTGCAAGGTCACTTGCACTTGTCTTTATTTAGGTCTTCCCCTTATGTCTGCCATCCTTTTATCTGACTGTGAAATGCACTGAAACTGAAATTCTTCATTAGTTTTTATAAGACCACTAACAACTGTAATAACCAACTGTTATGGAGGGGACCCAGTATTCAAGGCAAGACAGAAGGTGGGATTACTCAAAAATGTTTATTGAAAATGTCTGAAGTTACAGCAGCTAGGACATCAAAGGCAGGAATCCCTGCAGGAGAGAAACGCATGTTAGTGACCACGATAATCTGATGGAGGATGATTATGAACATGTGAGTCACTAACGTGGCTTTAGAGTTCAGTTCATGCCCAGAGAATGAGGTTGATTCCAGCTGGTTGGCTGACAAGACGCAGCAGTTGACTCACAAGGGTTTCAGGCGCCGAATCCTTGAGGATTACAGAATTGACAGGAGATCAGATCCAAGTAGATGAATGAAGGCAGGATAATCCAGCGGGTGAAGTAAGGAGGCAGATCCAGGTACAGTCCACAACTAGAATCCAGCAGGAGTTCGAAGACAGGTCCGGGAAACAGATTAGAAAGGAACAGGCAGAAAATTCACCCAGCTAGAATTGCGACTTTAGCCTCACTCTGCTTGGCAGTGCCCCCACTGAAAATGGGGGACACCCAATGAGGAATAGCAGAGTCACAGTGAAGGCAGTGGTCTTTCTTCTGAACTAATTTTTACTTTTGAATAATAGTCTCAAAGGTTATACTTTAACAAAAATATGCCAGTTGTTAATGTTGAAAAGCATAATATCCGACCTTTAAAAACCCTCCCATATAGGTTAAACTTAGTGATTTATGTTCTTGTTGTACTTCTATATGATCAGTATCTACACTCTGCTTTAGGTTCATAATTGCATAATAGGTGTTTTCGAGACTTCTTTTCTAATCTTGCAGCCTGCTTTCAGGAGGAGTTTTCTTAAAGAGAGAGCCATACCACAGCTTGTCTGTGATTGCTGCGAATGTTTTTCCCTTAATATATGAATTCAAATTCTTCTGAGACTTCTTTAATCGCTCAGCAGACTCATAAACTTCTACGGGGCCGCCTGTGTGTTTTTCCTGGGTGGCGCGGTCGCGGTGGGTGTTGCGGCCGGTCGCCAGGGCTTGGTGCCGGGGGGCGGGGCGTGTTTCGGTGCTCTGTGGGGCTGGGGCGTTTCGGTCGGTGCCGCAGGGGGGGCGGTGTTCGGTGCCCGGCCCTACTTCAGGGTGGCCGGCTGCCGGCGGAGCCCGCGGACATGTCCCTGCGGCTCCCCGGGGCGCCGGCATGGCGGTGGCTGGGGGGCTTCTTCGGGGCTGTCTCTCCTCCTCCCTGGGTGGGGGTCTGATTTTCGGGGCTGGCCCCTCCTTGTTGCCTTCGCTCTTGGGGTCCCTTTGGGCGCCTGTGGCTTTGTGTCTCCCGGCGCTGGACTCAGTGCTCTGGGGGGTGTGCCTCTCCGGCTCTCCACAACCACTATTGAGCATTTTTTCTATGGTTAAAACTTTACATGCACAAGTTCACCCTCACAAACAACTACAGGTGCTAGGCTTCAGGTACTTAGAGATTCACTTCCAAACAGAAACCCCACATTCATATCTTCAGGTAACACAGAGTACATGTCAGACTTAATAATATTACTTTAGCGATACTTTCAAGGTGTTGCTTTATTGTATATCTCGTACTGTGTCTTTTGGTTGTGCTGTTCTTTTTTCATCTCGTTACAGGTGATGAAGCAGACTGAAAATGTTTTGTCATTGTCTCCTTCCTGTCTCCTCTTTCTTTCATCTCTTGTCCCTTTTTTTTCCTTTTTCTTTTTCCTTTTTTTCTTCTTCTGTTTTTCTGCTCTACTTACATTGCAGTGTCCATATGAACTGTAAAACTCCCTGCATAATTATAATAAAGCAATTTATATGCATGAAACAAGTGGAGCAGTATGCCATACCGCTACACTTGTGAAAGTAAAATCTGTTGGGCTCCTTTGACATCAAGACAATTATTCTTATTGCCACCTGCCAGACAGGACACTGTAAAAAACAGTACTCTTTCTAAAGGCATCAGGCACTTTTTGGATTTCACTGTTGTAGTCTCTCCAACTTCAACACTTGGAAGCACCAAATAAAAAACAGTTTTTTTTATCTTCTACTCCTTATGTGCTAGGCTGTCTAATTTAATGGCAAATAAATGTATATAAGTTTTCTAATTTGTGTAAATTTTACAGTAGATTGTATGTCCTCTATCCCAATGGAGAATCTGAAAGTTAACTGTACTAATAAGTCCAAATTTCTAAATGAGATGGCTAAATTGATTTTTCATCTGTTTTTTGTGTAAAATTCCCCTAGATAGTTTTATAGACTGGAAGGGTTTCTCTGTAGCAAAGCCACATTTTCTGTTTTAATCAAGCTCATGTTGAACACAGAAGAAAACATAGTGCAGCTGTGAAAGATGCATCTCATTTTTTGCATCTGATGGTTACACACCAGAGGGGACTTGTAGTAAAGGAACCAGGGAGGGTATGTTAAAACGTGTTTCCACAGGAAGTGCAGAAACCCAACTGGTTTCCTGTTCACTTCCGTGACTGCACGGCTGTCAGTAAACACGTCGTACATGTACTGATCTAACTTTCCCGCAGGTGAATAGCATTTCAGATCGTAGTGATTAAAGTAAGTTTTAGGTCAGTTACATTTAGTTCTGAAGTTGTGTTTTTACATTAAATTAAACTTCAGATGCTGATTAACTCTTCATCACCGCTCATTAATGCTCATATAAAATCTAAACTTAAAGAAGCAGGATTTTATGAATGGAAGTGGTTTAAATGAGCTGCAAAAGGTCTTAATGGAGTTCCACAGGGCTATGTGGTTGGAACCATAATTTTTACTTTCCTACGGGTTTTCACTTTGAATACTCAGTTGAAAACTAAAATAAGTTAATGCATAACATTTTTTAAATGCTGATTGGACTGTTTTCCAAAAAGTCATGTGAGTTAAGATTACTTTAACATGAGTTTTTTGTCTAGAAACTTTAACTTTTGTCCAGTGTCTATCACTGACAGCTTTAAAACTAAATAGACAAATTGAAACTGCTTTATTTTTATTTTATACCTGGTAGTTAAATAAGTATAACTTTTGTTTGTTTTCCAGAACTTATTTAAATATAATTGCATTATGTTTCACTTTGTTGCTATACATTAAAAAATACGTATGAGCATTTCTAAGCCATAACCAGGCCTTGTTGGGCTACTCTATAAAGCTTGGAACTCAACGCTAATCCAGACATTTTTAATTGAAAAAGCTTTCTGGATGGGAAGTTAAATGTGTTTAAACTTGGAAAACAAAGTCCAGTGGTTTGTTTTTTTATCTTTGTAAACTTTTTTTTGGAACATATGAGTAGAATGCATGTAGAAGTTGTTTTCTGCATGTTGCAGATTTTTATGTTAATAATGTATTTATATGATGCAAACTTAGCGAAAACATCACTTTTATCACAGGTGTTGTTTTTGGGTCCCTATTGGACGCAGATTTGTTGTTTTTGGGGTTACAGAATCCAAACTGTTGACTCTAACAGACTAAGGGAGTTTCCTTCCTAAATATTTAGAACTGCTTATGTATTTTAACCAAATCCTTTATTTATGGTGTTATTTAAGTTGTTCATGTAAATTTCTTCCCAGATGGATACTTAGTATTTAAAAATGGAAGGGTACAATGGGCTTTTTTCCCCTCCTGACTGCTCGACTGGAAGGTTCAGGGTTTAAAGCAGGAATGTGAGGTTTGTAATTTTTTTCTCATTACATGCAGTTTTTGTACCATATAAAAAATGGAAGCTAGAAGTGAGTAGAGACCCCCTCCTTGGTGTTTACCCTCCATTGGGGTCCTGGACTGACATTTATAACAAGAGTTTAAAAAGGAAAACTTTTTTCAAGGGTCAAATTAGTGGAACCAACTTTATATGCACAAAAGGCGTATTTTTCTTGACCCTGATGTATGGTAGCAGTATCTTTTTTTAGTAAGTGAAATTAGAAGACCCTTCAGCACCCAAAAAGTTTTGATTAAAAGCTGCTGTCTGCT